TTCCATTCCTGGTTACAACTTGAGAACGCGATCAGCGCACTTCAAAGTTTTTCTTGTCTTCATAATACCACCACCATAACAGCTGTTTTTGTTTCCATGTGATTCCGTGACCGGTCAATCTGCCTAAAGACATTTAGCCTAACGACAGTTTTTCTAAAGACACATTGCCTAATGGACAATTTATCTAACGGACAGTTTGCCTAAGGGACAATTTGCCGAACGGACATTTTGGCTAACGGATAGTTTGCCCCACTTACGGTTTTTTCAATGGATATTTCGCCTAATAGGCAATCTGTTCCTTAGTAAACTGTCCGTTGGGCAAACTGTCGTTAGGCTAAATATCTGTAGGCAGATTGACCGGGTACCGTATGATTTTTTTCATTAAAATTTCTTCACTCTAAGCGATCATTTCTTGCCTCTTGTTTTCAGAGGTAAAGTATACGAGGCGAGTGTTTGCTACAAATGTGAGGAGCACCCAGCGACAACGAGTGATGTCCATGATAACGACGTGATCATGGAATCTGATGATTCGAAAGTGCTATCTCAGCCTCAGATGGATGATGATAAAGAAGTATTTCCCGAGAGAGATGGCAATGATAACGAGAATGAAACCAGCAATGAGAATGAGACATCAGCTCTTTCACGTTGTAACATCCACTCAGAACGTGACAAATTAGACGATTGTCGTATCGAAGTGAACAGTCTGGAAATTTTGAATAAGGGTGATGATTCAGTACAACTAGGAGATTCGAATCAACTTGCTACAAACTATGTTGATTCTATTGCTGCTACCGAGTTGTCGTCTCCTGATGTTATGGTAAATACAGTGACACAAAAATTGAATCAGTCAAAATTAAAGAGACTGAAAACAGGGGCTGGACAACCAAGTTTTAGTGAAGATGAAATTGATGCTCAAACAGTGAAAATGAAGTCGAACTGTCCGACATCACTATCGTCGGCAACATCTTCCAGAGATAATAATAAGAGTCTTGATGAGGTATTGGCACGTGATAAAGAAGTGATGCGAAAAATCACTGAAGATGGATATGTCAGCGATCATAGCAATCGTGTTAATCATGATGACGATCATCACGCAAACCGCGGACATCATAAAACAGCAAAAGCACAAGGAGAATCATTATCTCATAGAAGATGTTCGAGTGAAGCCACGAAAATTTCGGCTTATGTCAGTGGGAGACGGAAAAGTGAACCAACTGTAAGCCCGTCATCGTCGTCACTGATGAAACAGTTCAGTCGTTATGATCAACCAAGAGTAAGATCCAGAACAGCATCTGTGGATGATCATTCGGATCGTGCTAAGCTATCGTCTAATTGTGCTGATAAAAGATCATATGCTCAATCATATCATCAATCGCAAAAAGACCGCGCAAGAAAGAAACCATCTTCGCGATCACAAGCTGGTATCAATGCAAAAGATAGTGGCGATCATTATCATTATCGCCGTGGTCATCATTATCGTGGAACGTCATCTCACAGTACGAAATCAGTGCTGTCTGAGAAATCGATGAGAGAATACCACAAACTCGATAGAGTTAGACCGCATAGACCATCTTCGAGTCGATTTGAGACAAGCAACGATCGTGGAGAACGTTCGCAGAAGAGTATTCGAGATTGGCTGTTATCAGAACGAGGTAATGAACCTGATAACCACCATACGAGCAGTAGCATGGATCGATGGAGAATCCACAGCACTGGAAATAGTCATGATGTATGGAGAAGTTCGTCGAAGCAGCGCGAGAATCTCGAAAGGGTACGGAATCAGATATGCGTGACAAAGAGAAAATTAACTGAATCAGTGTCGTGTCCAGCTGATGACGGCGTTAGTGATCATAATCGCAGTTTTGTTCGTGAATTGTCAACTGACCAGGAACGTCTCGAAACGGAAGAACTAGAGCCAGGAGAGCTGATTTCGGATGATTCTGATCGAAGTATGGATAAGAATATATCACCGTCAATTATGGTGCGCTCAGAACGCAAACATTGCGAGGCTTCTTCGTTCAGGAGAGTAAAAGAAGGTGAAAAACTGAACAGCAATGATAGTGTTAGTATTGATAGCAACAGCAATAACTGTGAAGAATGTCTAAAATCTCCGAAATCGAAACATATGCGAACAGATCGCCTAAGGCGCAATGATGCTCAGTTATCACCAGTTGCCGAAAGCAGTGATAAGCAATCGAGTAATGAGGATATGAATGATCGAATCAGTGACCAGTTGAGATCATTCGAGAGAGCGTGGAGTCGTGAGGACGATGAACGTTTGCTACTGTTGTATAATCAATTTGATGGTGATAATGATAAGGTTGTGTGTGCTTTTGCGAACTCGTATAATTTGAGTGATTTGAACGAAATCAAACATAGACTCGTTTTCTTGTTGAGCTTTTTTGATTGAAGTGTTTCGTTCCCATTTGAAGTGAATTGTACAGACGCTATTACTCAGGCTTCGTATTGTTACTGTTTCATTATGATCTCTCTGAATTCATTTGACACTGAATTTCCATTCATCTGTATTTAAATCAACTGCTTTATCCATGTTCACTTCGAATATCGTTTTCATGTACACTTTTTGTTTTTGAACTTTGTCCATACATATTGATCAGTGGAGTTTTTCGAACAGTTATTGAATTTTGATTCAGTTCGGTGCATTGCGAATGTAAATTTAGATGATCGTTTTCTTTTACGTTGATATAAGGTGATGCCATTAAATTTGTGATAATTCAATATGTTTTTATGCGTATTTATGATATCCCCTCATCAAAAATTGCACTTGTTTATGTTTCAGTTTGTTTACGATTATCAATGCAATTTATAAAGTGATCGGGTGAGCATTTAAAGAGGGGGTGTTTTCGTTAAGGGTTGAAGAGATCGCTGAGTTCGTTCAGGATGTGTTTGGTGTTCATCGTGCCCCAAACAATTGAGTGATGATGTGAATTGAAGAGCGGATTTGTGTAAGAGGAATGGTGTAATCGGCAAGAGATACCTATTACCAAAATGTGAAGAATTAACAAATAAAGTCGTTCTCATGATTATTTCTTTAAATAATGGATCAGGATTAAAGTGTTTCTTCAGAATTTTCAATCACACTACGCTCCCATTAAGTCTAAACTGTGACACAATTCATGTAGAGCGGATTATGAGTTAAGACGATACAGTAACGTTTTTGAAATTGCTCCATAATGGATAATGATAAGATACATACTTGAATACATACATATTTGGCATTCATTGACGAACGAATAAGGACGGTTTTCTAGTGATATATATTATGCTACGGTATACGGTATTGTTTATTGTCAAGGCTCATACATTCGGTTTACTCGATCCAAGTGGCGTTCCATATTTTCGTACCAAAATTTGCCGGATCAGTGATTTTTGATAAGCCATTCTTCATTGAGTCGAGGCAGATGCTGAGCTGATGCCTCAGCGCTGTTTTGAAGTCGTTATATGCATTGTGTCTGGTGAATGATGTGGTGAACAGTTATTTGGTGACCCGGTCATAATGTGAAATGCAGATCATGAAATGCTTCATTCTTCAATCTTTACTGCCGTCAAATCAATTATATAATGGTTCGGTACATGCGACTTCTATCAACTTGCACCTACGAACCACAGCGATCGCATAACTTTAATTTAGGTATTTGAGATTTGTTGGTAGGGGGTGTGGTGGGATAAACAGATGAGGATAAGATGCATTGGTCACTCAGGTGGAAGGATTTAACTCACGTAAGAGATTTAGAGCAGAGGGGTTTTATTTGAAGAATTCAGGAGGGTGGGGGATTGGAATGATGAGGTGATTTGAAATGATGAGTGAAAGAATGAGTGACGGACGTACCAGTTATTTAGTGTCTTAAACGTCTACATTAAATGGGACGCAATCATCACTATTATACTCCTACTCATCATAGTTACCTCTTGGTCATCGTGAACCATTCGTAATTTTGCATTAATCGATCTCAGCGATTCATGTAATTGGCTAATTTCAATATCACACCGGAATCTACCAAACTTTATCACTGCTATTGTTACTGTCATTATCACTAGTATTATCACATTTCGTGTGACAGATTTTAACATTTCATGTGCTGATTCATTCACTGAACATTCGTTAAATCATCAATTCAAAGTTTGATACTACCGATTGGAAGGATCGTTTCTATTGTTCTGCTGTAAAATGCTCAACTGGAACTTCAATTCAAGACAACAGTAGCAATATGAAAAAGCCTATGTTCACTAATCACTGATAATTGATATGATAAGAATGATATATTAATTGCTTCACAATGATCAATGTTAGTAGATGTGTTATGGATGAAAGTCGGGAGCGAGCCTACAGAAATGTCATCTTTTTTGCTGTTATTATTTCGTTGATTTCAATTACCTCAATGGTTGTTCTTTTACCAATGACATTCACTAATATTAATCAACTCAATGAGCGGATACAGTTGGATACAGTTTACTGCGATGTGAGTTTTAGTTAGCGGTTCTTTTTTGACTTTTAATCGCAGTGATAACGAGTGGTTATAACATATCGAAGACACTTGTTCATCCTCAGTGAAATCAACTTTTAACATTGCCAGTTTGCAATAAATTGCATTTTGAAGAAAGATTTCCAAAAATGAAATAAGCGAACAATGATATTCAACAATCATTTTGTATGCGATTACGTTCGTTTTTCCTGTGTCGCTGCTGAAAAGATCAGTTAATTGATCACTTATCTAGTTTGTAGAAAAGATTTCATTAGTGAAACTAAAACAATCAATCAGCCTTCTTTTAAATAAACTAATTTCCAATCATTCGTTGGAATTTTTTTTAGTGAATTGCTATTCAATAGCAAATGCACTCATCAATGTATAGTCACTTACGAATTGTTGCCTCGTAGAAGTTTTTTTCTCTTTTTTTTTGGAGGAGGGAGGAAGAAATGAAATATTGCATTTTTGCATTGTGATCACTTTGAGGAAGTTGTATTGGAGATAGCTGAAGAAATGGATGGTTACAATTATTTGATTTCATTGCTTGCAAATGAAACTTTGATCAGAAACGAAAAATCGCTGAGAAAGTCTAAGCGATATGCTGATATCTATACGACTCTATCAGAGACACGAACAACTCCACCGTCTTCATCGCCCAACGCACAATTCTATCCTGCTATTGTACAAATGGTTTGTTGTGCTGAAATTTTCTTTCTCTTCAATAATCTGCCAGTATTGTTAATGACATGATAAAGTATATCAGCATCTCAACTCTTATTTTCCCCTGAACCGCATCTTTATGAGGACGCAGTCACATCGAGCACGAACTAGTGTAATTGCTGAAGATTTATCGCTCTTAGTTCTAGTTGGAAAATGTGATTTTTCTAAAGATGAAGAGCAGCAATATGTGTCAGTATGAAAGAACAACCATATTTTGCTTTAGCGTGACTAAAAGTGTTTGTTGAGTAGCATTCGCGATTAACATTTATAAAGTACTGGCACAGAGTTGAAGTACTGGCATAGTGACAGAGCTCTTTCGGAGAAGTTTGTGCGATAGTGAAACCTGATGAATAGAGCTTCAATGAGTGCTTGTGTTCAGCTCTTTCTTGAACATCAACTAACAATAATACTTTTGCGTCCAATCCATTTCCTTTACATCAATAATAACGTTCAGTAATATCCGCATGTGAGCGCACAATATGTGTCAAGGACGTTGTGTTTTTCTGTAATATAAATAAGTGATCTCATCCTCAGTTAATTGCCCGTATAAATATTGTTTACTTAACATTTATGGATCACCGCATTGATGACATATTTTAGTGATGTTTTCTTTTTTGTTGATCCGTTCGTACTCCACTAGAAGCTACCCTCTTCCCCTCCGAAGACTCACATATAAATCACTTTCTCTAAAGGTGTCTGATTTTGGTGGAATCAATTCATCATGGAAATTTCCTCTCAGAATAATATTATAAACGATGAAAAGATTGTTTGATAAAATATGGTAGAAACCCACCAATGATAGATGTCTCTAAATCGGTTGAATCCGTTCCTCTCATTTGTAGAAGGATCTCTCTAGATCCAGCCGTAATTAAGTACCATCACAAAAGAACATGTCGTATGAGAGTGTTTACGATGGATTAGAAGATATCATGTTGAAAGGTCAAAACAAACACCGTAATACAATTATAAGTGATCAGCTCATATATGAATGAGAATGGCTGCTGACTGCAAGACGAAATCTTGAAATCATTTATAAAATGAAACTTTCAGGCGACGGATTTGGACAGTTCCGATTGTAACTGCTGTATTCCAGGTGTGCAAGGGAAACCTGGTTTACCGGGAAAGAACGGAAGACCTGGAATCCCGGGAATACCTGGTGAAAATGGTCGTCCAGGAAGGCCACCAGCTGCTCAATGCAATGGTAACCCAAATCACTGATCTAGATGTAATGATGAAACTGAGTTTGTTGTAAAAATGATGAAGAAATTCGCTACCATTTTGTAATAGCATGGAATGAGCCTGATTTGCATCTCAGTGGTATTTTCGTTTCCTATTTTCAGTTGAAGCAGCTCTCGCTTGCCCCGTATGTCCCAGAGGTCCGACTGGTCAACCGGGACTTGTTGGACCACCAGGAGACCAAGGACGGAGAGGTGAACCTGGAACACCCGGTAGCCCAGGAATAGATGGTGGACCCGGTCCGAAAGGTTAATGAGCTTAATTTCTGCATTCTTTTTCCGGTCATCACAAAGAGGAAGCGTGCAGTAGAGCACACTGAATATTCAATTCAAATTTCATGATAAACAGTTTGAATTTTTAATAAATCATTGAGTGCCATCATATAAATGTGCCATGAGCGAAGGTGTAACAGGTAGATTATTTCAGGACCTCGAGGGATTAAGGGAGTAAGAGGACGAGATGGACTGCCGGGTGATGCTGGTGCGTTGCCATATGCCTCTCCGATGATTCCTGGTGAAGCAGGCCAACGAGGGGTAAATTCTAGTTGATTTCAGAGTATGAGAATAACTTGAATTTAATTTGAGGAACCCGGCGCAGTTGGTCCACCAGGCTATCCAGGTGAGGATGGATATGATGCACTACCAGGACCGCGTGGAGCGAAGGGTCCTCCAGGATATCCAGGTAAATGTTACCAAGAAATCATCTTACTTTCTGCCAAAGAATGAAGCTGCCATTATCCATAATCTCACATCTCAACAGAATGCATATCTTTCAATAGGTTCTTTTCAGCTGATTTCATAAATTTTTGACTTAATCCATTTAATTGCAAAACCTTACGCATCTTCCATTTGAATGCATCGCAACGTACGAAAAAGAATCTCTCTAAGGATTGTAAGTGATCGCAATGCAAATTTGAAATCGATAAGATTTTTGTGTTGTAATTAAGGTGCACCCGGTGCGGACGGTGAAGCAGGTTGGCCAGGACCAATCGGGCCACCTGGACGGCCAGGCGAGCAAGGTGACTGTCCAACATATTGTGCGCTTGACGGTGGAATATTCTTTCCTGACAGTGTTATAAGAAGGAAACAACGTAAGCTGCAGTAATATTCGTTGTGTTGATTCGGGCACACAGTTCAGATCGTTGGAACTGACTTGAACATGCCATGACGTTCCATAATACGCCTCATGGTTGAGTTTATTGTTCCATAATGAAATACTTTACTAGACTGACCTCATTCTCATTACATGTCACATTCTTTTTCCTTCAGATCTGATTCCATTAATTTTGTTACTGCTTCTCACCAAAGTTCATCATTTCACTATCATAATATAATTTTTAACTGGATGATGTCAATTTTCAGTTAAAGTATTCAGTAGAAATGCGATGATTTGTGATTGACGTGAATAATTGTTACGTAATTTTGTCATCTTTTTCCTTTCATTCAAGAAACAGAATGCATGTAATTGAGAGATACCATCTTGATAGTTGAACAGTTACGTCAAACTGTGTATACGTTCATCATTGTAGCAGATAGCACACTCGGTTTTTCGATTTCATTCCTTTTCGTTTTTACTCTTGTCAGTTTTTTAGTGGAAATTTGGTGGTGAATTTTAAATGAGCAGTTTAAATGTGTATTGTATTTCGTGTCGATGCTGTTCTTGATTATTTCTTTTTCAGCCATTTTTTTGATTCAGTTCAACATTCGATTGTATAAATTGCTTATAAGAATAGTTCGTCATTGCGAGCGATGACAACAGAAAAGAAATCCTACAGCGAATCGATCAATCAAAACAACAATATCCGAATAAAAATTTTGGAATACGAAAGAGTCGCCCTCAGGAGCTTCGTTCCTGAACGTTTCATCCTCTACGATTCGTTTCTGAAGGCGAACTTTTTCGAAACTAATTTTCCATAAACTAGAAAATTCACACAAACAGCAAGGTAACATGCAAAAATACAGCCAATTGTAATCAAACACACCCACTGTTTGAATTAATCAATCGTTAATAAGTACAATACAAACCTACAGTGAACAATAATCGATGAGAGATCAATAAAACAGTTGTTATGTGTGACTCAAAAACGATCTAAGATATGATACCATCAAATTCTTGACTCCTTACTATTGATTACTGACAACATTGCTGAATGTACCTTATTGTGAAACAATTTTGATTTACTCCATTGTGATAACTTACTAAAGATAGGACAAGAAGACAGTATGCCGTCTCGCAGTTCACGATGCTTCCAAAAGATTATCAAAATATTCGTTGATGAATGCAGAATTTCACCGAAACGTATCACGAGTGTTGACACTGCTGTACATTTTGCATTGAAATTGTATAGGAGGGCAGCAATGATGAAGAAAATATTGGGCATTGAGAAGAGAACTACGTATGAGACGAGAACGGCGCACATTGTTTGATAGAAGGAACGATGATTCTGAGTACCGCTTCGAACAGGTTGTTGCTTGAAACGATACATGGTGATGCAACTGATCACTGAAACTTCAATCAATTATCGGAGCTGAATCGAGCAAATAAGAGACGTTCCTTGAGTCAGAGATTCTATTCATTGGCCACTGAATCAAGATGTGACGAATGCTACCTTGAACTAGTTTTCGCAAAGAAGCCAGTTACTTTTTGGGTGAATAATGAGGAGTTGATTGAACAACTCGAATGAACCCTACCGATAACACTCGTCGAGAGAACCGTTGTGAAGCACATCCAATAACTTTGATAGGTTCTCGTCCAAATGGATCCTAAAGAGAAAATTTTCAGATAAGGTTTTCAGTAGAGACTCATGACAGTTGACTTGGAATAGTATGACATAGTATGTTGCGGGAAATAGAGGATTTCTGTGGTCTCGTCCCCCTTTCTCCATCCTCAACACTGTTGAGGTAATCAGTGATCAAATTTTCAGGGCCCCTGACTGCAAATTCCATCCCCGACTTGTTCTCCCTATCCCCGACTTGTTCTCATTTCTCGCAATAAAATAGTATGGATTATCATGTTGGGTCCTGTAGTGTGAAATATTATTGAACGGAAAGACGAGCTGAGGTTTATGCGAAAATTCAAAAGTCAAGCTCAAGCCTGCGCCTAGCTATTCGCTCGAAGTTAAGCTGAATTGAGTTTGAAGTTTGGAGCTGTTGACACGATCCTACCCCCACTCTCAACACTAGCTGACATTTTGTTCCATTGGATTAAAGTGAAAAATCACCAAGCTGACAGGATTTCACAAAGCGATTTTTGACGTTGATGAATTGCACGGCTGTACCAACTGATGAATACAAAAAACAGATGGAGAAGAGAAGTAGCGAAAATGTTCTTGTATGCTAAAATCACAATAAAAGTTGTGAACGTTTTTTTGAGAAATAAAACTTTTTACACATGTTGAATTTTTTATGAGAGTTTTTTCAGTTTCATTTGAAATACCTTGAAAAGACCGCAAAAATAAGCAATGAACTCACAAACTCTACTTGAATACCCGAAACCGCACCGATCAATTACAATGAATGTTACCAAAAAATATCTTGCAAACTGCATGTTCCTCATTGCGCATTTTCCTATGCATCGCTACGAGAAAACATATGCATGAAAAATTTCATGAGAAACTTCTAGCTAATAAATTTGCACTGGTATTTAATTCAGAACAGCAAAATGAGTCAAATCATCCATCAATCAAATTGTTTGCTAGTG